GGTTAGCAGCTAAAGGACCAGAAATAAGTAAAAGAAGCAGCAAAACAATTAAAAATAAGTGAAAAAATGAAAAAAAACAATGAATAAATAAGTGAAAAAAGCAGAAAAACTAAGTGAAAAAAGCAGAAAAACAACCAAAAATAAGTAAAAGAAAAAGCTAAACGACCCAAAATAAGTTAAATAAACAGCAAACCAATGAAAAATAAGTGAAAAAAGTAGCAAAACAACCAAAAATAACTACCGTAATAGAAGCAGAAAAACAATAAGAAAAAAAAATAAAAGAAGCAGCAAAATAATGATGAACAAGTAAAAAATACCCCAAATAGTCCCACAGACAAACAGGTGACATTTTATGTTTTGGCCCTTCAGTTGCAAAATAAAAGAAAATCAAATTAAATAGCAATCCTTTGATTTTTTTGGAAATTAGTCGTTAAGATTAGTCGACTAATCGAAAAATGAGTCGAACTTGAGATACTGAAAAAATGTTCTCAAATGGGGATTTTTCTGCATTCTTCTTTCTGGTCTTTTCTTTATGTTGTTGATCTTTTCTTTCTAGTCTTTCTTTTCTCTCTTGTCTTTTCTTTTCTTTCTAGTCTTTCTTTAAATTCTTGTCTTTTCTTTCTAGTCTTTTCTTTTCTTTTTGGTCTTTTTTTTCTGGTCTTTTCTTTTCTTTCTAGTCTTTTCTTTTCTTTTTGGTCTTTGTTTTCTGGTCTTTTCTTTCGGGTCTTTTCTTTCTGGTCTTTTCTTTTCTTTCTAGTCTTTTCTTTTCTTTCTGGTCTTTTCTTTCTTTCTACTTTTCTTTCTTTCTGGTCTTTTCTTTTCTTTTGGTCTGTAACTACGCTAGCCGTCATGCATCAAGAAGTAATGACATCATGACTTCCACATCATCCAGTTTTTTCTGGTGATGGAGTTTGTAATCTAAAGAAATAATAATTTAAGTTAATTCATTTAATTAATTTAAAAAAAATAATTTAAAATAAATTTCAGTCAGGCTCTGGAGGAAAACTCGTTGTGGATTAGCTAGACAGGCAGACTAGTGCTTTATGTCCCTCTTTATGCCATTGTAGTTTTTCAAAATGGCGGATCGCCATGGAAACCTTCGTGTTTACCCGTCCTGTGTATTTAGAGATAGGAATTTCTTCCTTATGAGGAGAAGTCAGATCATTGTAGAGGTCATTTTACACCAAATGAGGAACATTTATAAAAGAAGAAGATGGTTTTAGCTAATAAAATACTAAAAATACTACAGAATGTCCCTTTAATGCAGTGTTTTTCAACCTTTTTTGAGCCAAGGTACAGTTTTTCATTGAAAACATCACGAGGCACACCACCAACCAAAAATGTCAAACAAATCTGTAGCCGCCTATAGTAACACTATAGTTATTCTTATTTTATTCTTATCTTATCTTAAGTGTCTTGAATAGGAATCAAATAAACACAAAAGTGTATTTTTATCATATTTTATATTTCTTCTCTCAAATTGCTCTTAACATCCACTTCAATATGCAAAATTATATACAAAATCTAGTCATAAGGAATTATTACATGATTACTCCACCAGTCACTAGAACAGCACAGACACTCAAAAATGGCATATTATTTGCAGATAATTAATTCCTTATCAAAAAAATTTTTTAGACCAATTAGATGAAATAGGATGATTTTCTACACCTGACCATCACTAACGGCACACTAGTGGTTGAAAAACACTGCTTTAATGAAGCACTCCGAGTTGCCCCCCCCAGATAAATGGGACCCAGACAGTCCTTGGGGGGGTCTGGATGCAGAAAGAGGCTGCAGATGCTGAAGCCTCAGGGGGGGAAACTTTACATCCATCTTAGAGAAACTGAGCCAGACAAACAGCGTCTGGTTTCAGCAAACGACCCAAATCCTGGATCTGGTTCAGCTCGTTTGGGTTTAGCTTATTTATTTATGCTTCTTTCAGCTTCTGTGTTTTCCTCTTTCACTGTAATAATATATATTTTATATACGATATATAGATTATTATATGTATTAACACACTATATATGACTATTAAAGACAATTATTCATTACTGAATATTAGTTATATAATATGAATTATTCATTGATCATCAATAATATATATATATATATATGCATTATTTTCTTAACTTAAACCTTATAATATATGTGACTATTGATGACAATTAATATGAATGAATATTGCTTTATAAATATTAATAATGTATTGATCCTTAATAATTTGTGTATATATATATATATATATATATATATTCTTTTTCTTTTTTTTTTTCTGAGGTGCATTATTTAATAACTGCAAAGCCACACAAAGTGACACCAAAAAAGGCAAATTAATATAAACCATATGAAAAAAATGACTCACAAATGGGCCGTTAAATCCCAGAAAGTTAAACCTGACCTTGTTTTTCC